CCCCGTGGACCGTAGCCCGCCAGGCTCCTCTGCCCATGGGATTCTCCAGGCAAGAATACTGGAATGGGTTGCCATTCCCTTCTCCAGGGGATCTTCTCGACCCAGGGATCGAACCGGGGTCTCCTACATTGCAGGCTGATTCCTTACCATCTGAGCTACCAGAGTACCTATACCATATGTTATTTAGCCATTCCCCTGCCAAAGGGCATTCCAATTGCTGAAAGGGTTTTTTTTTTCCTTTTGCTAACACTGCTGCAGTAACCATCCTTGTTTGTTTTAGTTCTGTGTGTTCACACAATCATTTCTCTAAGCTAGGCTAGACTGGTTTTTGTTGTGGTTTTTTTTATTTTTGGCCATGCCATGAGATTTGTGGGATCTTAGTTTCGTGACCAGGGGTCAAACTTAGTTCCCTGGCCAGGGGTCAAAACCGGGCCCTCAGCAGTGAAAATTTGGAGTCATAACCACTGGGGAATTCTATCTCTAGGATAGATTTTTTTTTTAAGATTTCTCTATTTTTGGCCGTGCTGGGTCTTCGTCGCCGCTCGGGCTCTTGTCTAACTGTGGAGAGCAGGGGCTGCTCCCTGTTGCGGTGTGCGGGCGTCTCGCTGCGGGGGCTTCTCTTGCTGCTGAGCGCGGGCCCCAGGCGTGTGCACTCGGTAATTGCCGCGCGTTTGCGCAGTAGCTGTGGCTCCCAGGCTTCGCTGCTCTGCGGCGGTGGGAGCTCCCCGGGCCGGAGGTCGCGCCCATGTCCCCTGCCTCGGCAGGCGGGTTCTCAACCACTGGACCCCCAGGGAAACCATAGGATAGATTCTTAAACGTGGATTTTCTGGCTCACAGAGCTAGGAAGTTTTGATTTAATAAGACAACTTCAGATGACCCTCACAAAGGTTGCACAAGTTTACACTTCTGAGAGCAGAGATGAGATTGTTTCTTCACCTCTCATCAGCACTACATGCTGTCAGTCTAGTTTTAGTTTCTGTTTTTCCATCTAACGGATAAAGAAGATCAGTCATGTTTTACACCTTGGTCAACACACCCTGGTCATCCTGACGTAAAGGTCTTTATCCTCCCCTGCCTGCCCCCAGGTCCGCGCTCAGCACCTTTAACCTGACACCTGCAGCGCCCGCTCCCTCCAACTCTCTCCTCACTCTCTCCCCCCAAGTCACGGGTCTAACCCTGGAACTTTCCTCTGTAAAACTTGTGAATGTCGGTGGGCATCTAGCCTGCTTCTGTGTCTTGGCTATTGTAAATAGTGCTCCTGTGAACATGGGTACATGTGCCTTTTTCAATTACGGCTTTCTCGGGCTGTAGCTAGTGAGAAGTTGCTGAATAACACAGGGAGCCCAGCTTGGTGCTCTGTGATGACCTCGAGGGGTGGCGTGGCAGAGAGGCTCAAAAGGGAGGTGATACGTGTATACATGTGGCTGATGTGTGTTGATGTGTGGCAGAAACCAACACAGCATTGTAAAGCAATGTTCCTCCAATTAAAAAAAAGTTTTTAAATCCCCTGGATGCCTCCCCATTGTGTTTAGACTAAAACTCACACTCCCGTGTGAGGCATTTAAGGCTGTTTAGATTCTGGCCAGTCAACATTTCTGCCAAGTTCATCTGCCACGCCTTCCCTCCCTCTGACGTCTCCTCCAGCCCCACCCCTGCCAGCAGCTCCTGAGAACACCAACGACTTCACTTCCCTGTAGGATGTCTGTGCTGGGGGCGGGATGAGGCAGGGGAGTGAGCCAGGCCGGCACTGGGTGGGGAGGCTGAAGAGCCTGGGTCTGGAGGTTCGATTCTGGGGTCCACCCCTCAGGAGCTGTGAGGTTCTGAGCAAATGAGTTTGTCAACCTCTGCATCTTAACTTCCTCCTTTGTAAAATGAGATTAGTAGTGACTCACGGGGCAGCAGGAGCCTTTTAACTGCAGACTGTGATGCAGTTTCATACCATACAGTCGCGCTTCCCTAAGGATGTACCGAAACCTCCTCTCGGCTGTGGAGGATAGGGTGCGGGAATGGGATTCTCCTGTCCCAGCTTTTTGAAAATTAATGTATTTATTTAATTTCAGCTGTGCTGGATCTTCGTTGCTGCGCACAGACTTCCTCTAGTTTCGGGGGTGGGGGGACCACTCTCCAGTTGCAGCGTGCAGACTTCTCACTGTGGTGTCTTCTCTTACTGCGGAGCGCGGGCTCCGGGGTGAGCGGCTGCAGCAGTTTCGGCTCCCGCGCTCTGGAGCACAGGCCCGGTAGTGTGGTGCTCAGCCTTAGCTGCTCCGAAGCCTGTGGCATCTTCCCCGGTCAGGGCTCGAACCCATGTCTCCTGCATTGGCAGGTGGGTTCTGCACCACTGAGCCACCAGGGAAGCCCTCAAAATTATTTTCAAATTACAGTGTCTTTCCATCCTCATATCCATATAAGGCAGGTCAGGGAGGATGTCCATATCCTGGCAAGTCAGGGAGATGGGTTGTCTCTGTGCTCAGAAGTCTTCTGCTTAGAGACTGTCTTAACTGTACAGACAGTGGTGGTTGAGCAAATGAGCTTTCAGTCCAGGTTCCTCCATCACAGCTCTGTGCCCTGGAGACTGTTGCTGGCTCTCAGGTCACCACCGCGAGGTGTGGTAGTTGGACTGGATGTTGGTACAAGGTCTGCCAGCCCTCACATGCTGAGGCCTGGGCTCAGGCCCTGAACTCACGCAAAGAGCCTGGCCAAGCGTCTGACCCTTGGAGCCTCCAGTTCACATGCCCTTGGGTGACCAGATGCCCAGCCCTGCACATCCAGATCCAGATGTGGTTCACACATTTTTCTCTAAAAATGCTTTTTCACAAATTTTACCTACGAGCCACAGAGCCTTAAAAGAGTTATATGAGTGAGTGAGGGGGTTAGTGTTAGTCACTCAGTTGTGTCCGACTCTTTGTGACCCCATGGACTGTAGCCTGCCAGGCTCCTCTGTCCATGGAATTCTTCAGGCAAGAATACTGGAGTGGTAGCCATTCCCTACTCCAGGGGATCTTCCCAACCCAGGGACTGAACCCGGGTTTCCTGCATCGCAGGCAGATTGTTTACCATCTGAGCTACCAGGGAAGCCCCATCCCAAACTGTTACAGTTGGCGCTTTATCAATGAACAGAGCAGACTTCAGGTCCCCATTCTGGGAAAAAAGAAATCACAGAAATTCCTGCTCTGGAGCCTGCACAAAGCCCGGCCCTGGACAAGGACTGCCCCCCTGTCCCCTCCACACATACGCTGGGTTACCGGACCCTGGTCAGTGTTGACCCAGAACACTGTTTAAGTCCATCAGCCCATCAGCCCTTTTCACCAGGACCGGATTCGTTGTAAAACCTTGACATGCTGATAGTTATCATCACAGTTTAACTGTGTCCTATGTGGGTCAGTGGGCACGAGATGCTGTACTGACCTGTCTGTGAGCCGGGGGCAGAGGGCACTGTCAAGGCCTTGCCAGCACTCACTTGTTATGATGTAAACAGTCCAGGGGGAGACGGTGAAAGCAGCAGGAGCTTTTTTTCCCGAACATGGGTGTGGAGGTTGTGAGAGAGGCGATGAGTGGCAAAGGGAAGGTGGGTCCTGAGGAGCTGGGATGACAGCAGTGCCTCCTGGCCCAGGAGGAGGGGAGCAGCATGAGGACAGTCTGCTCGCTGCGCCCCGAGAAGGAGGCTGGCAGACACAGCAGCGCTTCTGTGAGAGCTGCATCATACCATTGCGTTCGGAGAGGCAGGTTCTCTGCCCCTGCTGGTCTGGGGGCTTAGTTAGGAAATGAAAGTGGGAGGAGGGATTCAGGGTAAGCCTTCAGAGAATTCAGAGGAGGAGTAGGAGGGCGGGGGTCAGCCGTAGAAAAGACAAGTGGTCCCAGGACCCCAGGCAGCATGGAGGCCCGAGGGGGAGTGAAGAGGATGAGCAGGGACTGACTTCCTCCCCTGGTCGCTGCCCAAACACCGCTTGAGTCCTGATTAATTTGGAGTGCTTTTTTGGGGGTTTTTTTTTTTTTTTTGGCTTTTTAAAAAAGATTACATGACAAAGTAGGGGCTTCCCTGGTAGCTCAGTCAGTAAAGAATCACCTGCAGTGCAGATGAGCCAGGTTCGATCACTCAGAATAATTTTGTTGACTGAGATAGTGAGTTTCAGCCCCTATCAAAGCCCTTCTCTTCTCCAGTCTCCTTGTCAGAGGTGAAGGCTGGCGTGCACTGGATGTTGCCGGGAAACTGTGTGGCCAGACATCAGGGGCCAAGAGAGAGCAGAGAGCACGGCCAGCCACTGAGCGTGAAGAGACCTGAGAGGGATAAAAGGACCCCTCCCTGCAGGAAAACTCCAGAAAGACAGAGATTATGAGTACTCTGGAAGGAGGAGTTGGGAAGGAGGGATGAGGTATGCAGACTTTCGGTGAAATACACAGCCACGCTGCCTGCCTCCTGTGTGCCGAGCAAGTGATTGGTCCTCTGGACGAGAAACAGAATGCAGAGTTACATCTTAGATAAGCTGATATTAGAACAGCACCTGGTATGTAGTCGCTGCCGGCTGTTTGTTAAGTAAATAAGTTCTGGTGACCAAAAGCATATTTCAGTGGGGTGGTCGGTCAGCTGGCAGAAGTGTTTAGTACCAAACAGTGGGGCAAACATCTCAGGAGAGTTCCCGCAGGGTGAGGAGGGGGAATGTGTCCAACTGAGTGACCGGAACAGGCTTCCTGGAGGAGGCGATACCCAGGCGGGAGCTTGGTGGACGTGAAGGGACGATCCTGCAGTCGTTGTCCAACCTCTCCTGGACCATGGCCACAGCCTCCCACCCCCCTCCCCGCCTCCAGCCCCACTCACACTTACTCCCCACACAGTCTCCTCCAGAGTGTACCCAGGGTTTAAACCTGTAATGGATGAGAAAAAGGCCAGGAAGACCCCCTCGGTTGGCCCACCCTGCCCTTCAACCCCTCTGAGCTGGCCTGCACATCGCTCTTTTGTCCCCTTTCCTTGCCCATCTTCTCAGCCTAGAAGTTTCCTTCTTCAGGTGCCAGTTGCAGACAGCATCCTCAGCTCCCCCCCCATCGGTGTTACCCCATGTCCACAGCACGCGGTGAAGGGTAGCACGTTCCGGTTTCCACCACGTGTTTCTTTTTGGCTGCACTGGGTCTTTGTTGCTGCACACAGGCCTTCTCCAGTTGCGGTGAGTGGGGGCCTCCTCTCTAGTTGTGGCCTGTGTGCTGCGTGTTGCGGAGCATGGGCTCTGGGGCATAGGCGCTGTAGCTCTGGTGCAAGGGTTGAGTTGCCATGTGGCATGTGGGATCTTCCCAGACCAGGGATCAAACCTGTGTCCCCGGCATTGGCAGGCAGATTCTTAACCTCTGGACCACCAGGGAAGCCCAGAAGTCTTTAAAGAAACAGTTTTTTCTTTACCATCTTAGTTTTTAAGCACAATCCCTGCCCATAGCAAACAAGGAGTGGATGAATGAATGAATGAATGAATGGGAGGGAGGAAGAAGGGAAGGAGGGGCGGGGAGTAGAAATGCTAGGCTCTGGCTCAGAGTAGAAGGTAGGGCTGGATTACACATTTGGAAGCAATCTGAGCAACTGTGAGTGTTGAAGTTAGGAGTTGAACAGAGAATCCTTGGGAAACAAGAGAGAAAGGTTGAGGACCAGGAGCAAGGGGGAATTCCAGTTTTATGAGCAAGAGTCCGGCCGGGTCCTGGAGGTGGGGTGCCCACAGGAGATAGGCCCACAGGGGCTATGTAGTCGCAACCGAGCTGCAGGGCTGAAACAGCTGGAGGCCAGGCTAGACCCCAGATCTGCGGTCCAGTGGCTGGGCGGATGGATGGCATGGTGCTCACATTGTGTCTGAGTCCGGCATTAGCTGAAGAGACACGGGCCGAGGCTGCTGGAGTTGAGGGCAGAGGAGAATGGAGAACAGGGGCTGCAGGGAAGTGGCGAGGTTCTGGAGACGTTTTTCTTCGAGCTGTGGGAGACCCAAGCGCTTTGCAGTGTCGGGGAAGAGGTCAGCACCCGGGGAGAGCCTGAGAGGGCGGAGGGGACGAGGGGCAAGTCGTGGCGATGGAGCAGGTTCGCAGGGGCCAAGGGCAGGTCCGTGTGTGTGCAGCCCTGGTGGGAGGCGAAGCTCACGGGTGGTGGCTCTGTATCTGACCCCTTGTCAGTGACTGGGGGTGGGAGAAGGGGACTCCACGTTGAACTGGAGGCAGTAGCCAAACCAGACAGAGTAAAATTCTAAACACACCCGACCAAGGGGTGATGTCTGTCGGGCCACAAAGAATAAGGGCATTGCCTCGCCCTGGGTGTCCCCGTGTGTGCGTGACATGGTGCGGCCTGTACCTGCTGACAGCGGTGCCCTGTGGACGGGAGAAGCAGGAAGAAGCCAGGCTGGAGATGGGGATTCGTGTCCATCTGCTCTGTGGGTGGTGGGCAGATACTCAGGGAGGCCGGCTCATGGGCCTTGAATTCAGTGAACTTTCTAGACACAATGAACTTTCTAAATAAATGAGAAGCCACTTATGGTTTCCTTGAAAAAAACAAACTGGCTTCTTTTTTCTGTTGACGAAGGGAATAAATTCTCATCATAGGAAATATAAAAACACAGAAGAGTTGAAAGGCAAGGGAAAGGGGGAATGACCCACAGTTTTACCACCCAAAACAAGCACTGTGAACATGAAAGGAAATTCATCACAATGTTTTGTTTTAAAGGCATTTTTTTCTCTTCTCTCCCAAACATCAAGGAAAACAGTCATGGCTTATTCTTGGTGTCAGTGTCCACCGGGGAAGATTGTGCTTACAATTTTTAAAAGAAAAGAGAAGCATAGTGTTCCAAGCATATCGAGTATTGGGTAGTATATACTGGTCCCAAGTGACAGGCCTGTCTTAGAGAAATCTTCTCTATCTAGGTACTGACTGTTATCTCATTCCCTAACATCCCATAGGAGGAAGATTGCTTTTAAATGTGTATATGGGAGCAGTTGCATTTGATTTTTTTGTGACTCCGACAGGAGAGGCATAATCTCTTTGAATCATCTTTAACTAAGACTTTGATGCTGGGAAAAATTGAAGGCAGGAGAAGGAGGCAACAGAGGATGAGATGGTTGGATGGCATCACTGACTCAATGGACATGAGTTGAAGCCAACTCCAGTAGATTGTGAAGGACAGGGAAGCCTGGTGTGTTGCAGTCCATGGGGTCGCAGAGTCAGATATGACTTAGTGACTGAACATGACATAACAGAAAACAAAGTCCCTAAAAGAAAAGGACTAGTGTCACCAAGGAGGCTTGCAGACCCCCGCCCGCACACCCACTCCAGAGTCCCTGTGCAGTGTGCTGTGGGTGGGAGGAGTCACACCAGGCTGGAGGTGACCAGGATTGCTTTGTATGACCTGTGT